GAGTCTTGCATTGGCTGGCTCCAGAACACCTTGCTCAGTCATTGCCTGGGAGTAGCCCATTGACAGCACAGCCTTGGCATAAATGCTGTGCCTCCTTCCCAAGACGCAGAAGTGGCTGCTGGAGCTGTTGGCCATCCACACTCCCCTCAACGGGTTCTCTTGAAGAAAGATCTGGGAGGTGCCTTCCCATGGCTGCCGCAGCCCTGTACTAGAAATTAAATTCCTCTGAAGGACACGCCAAGGAGCCAGCCATTGGAGATAAGCATACCTACAGTTGCTCCTCACACAGAAGTAACACTGCTGAGTACATTTGCTTTCAAACCTTGTGCTGGTTTGGCCTCATTAAAAGTCCATTTAATAAAAAATATGTTTTCCTGAAGAGGGGTAGGTGGGACATTTTCTTGTTTATTTTCCTACTGTGGACACATTTAAATTGCCACAACCATGTTACTATGGAAACTGCTCTCAAACTTGCAAGATAAAGGGTAAAAATGGAACACTTTGTTAAAATGCAAATGATTAGTCTTTGGAGACCGGACCACTTTTTAACAAACTCTCCTTGTCTGGTTCTTCTATTAAAGGCTCTTTTGAATCTACGGGAGACAGGCTGGTTTTCTGGTGTTACATTCTAGATGGCACTGGTCAACTGTGAACAGACCACAGGTGACAACATTGGAATAAGTCTAGACACTTTCAAACTTGTTATCGGAGCAGGCAAAGCAGGTAACAGTATTGTACTCACTGGGTAACTCTGGTGAAGCTGATCATGAATTACTATGAATGTGTAAACAGGCCTAGGGCGGGGAAGGCAGTTATTTTCATGCCAGGCTCTTTCTGCTGGTGTACCCTGGACCTGCTTGTTTGAAAGTTAACTTGCTGAGCTCTTATTTATGGAAAGCAGTTTCTCTTTCTTATCTTCCCTGGCCACATTCCACTCTTTGAATCTTGAGCTGGACAGTCCATTCAACATGAAACACAAAATTCTCATTTGAAAGCCCTATTTCTCTGCCTGTCTCTTTACCTGCACCTCCCCACCCACCTCTTCAACTCACTTTACTTCTGCCTGCCTGAGCACTCCTATCTTGACAAAGCTCTCAGACAGTTTTGACCTGATTTCTGCTTTTTATATTTTTTTGCCTGGCAATTCTTTCCACTTGTCTTGGTGAAATCCTGCAGTCTTACTGAAAGCTCTTCTAGAGCTCAGTCAGTCAGTTCAGTCGCTCAGTCCTGTCTGACTCTTTGCGACCCCATGGACTGCAGCACGCCAGGCTTCCCTGTCCATCACCAACTCCCAGAGCTTGCTCAAACTCATGTCCATCAAGTCGGTGATGTCATCCAACCATCTCATCCTCTGTCTTCCCCTTCTCCTCCCACTTTCAATCTTTCCCAGCATCAGGGTCTTTTCCAATGAGTCAGTTCTTTGCATCAGGTGGCCAAAGTGTTGGAGTTTGAGCTTCAACATCAGCCCTTCCAATGAACATTCAGGACTGATTTCCTTTAGGATGGACTGGTTGGATCTCCTTGCAGTCCAAGGGACTCTTCAAGAGTCTTCTCCAGCACCACAGTTCAAAAGCATCAATTTTTCAGTGCTCAGCTTTCTTTATGGTCCAACTCTCACATCCATACATGACTACGGGAAAACCATAGCTTTGACTAGACGAACCTTTTTTGGCAAAGTAATGTCTCTGCTTTTTTAATATGCTTCTACGTTGGTCATAGCTTTTCTTCTAAGGAATAAGCGTCTTTTAATTTCATGGCTGTAGTTACCATCTGCAGTGATTTTGGAACCCCAAAATATAAAGTCTGTCCCTGTTTCCACTGTTTCCCCATCTATTTGCCATGAAGTGATGGGACCAGATGCCATGATCTTCAGTTCAGTTCAGTTCAGTTGCTCAGTCGTGTCTGATTCTTTGCAACCCAATGAACCACAGCATGCCAGGCCTCCCTGTCCATCACCAACTCCCTGAGTCCACCCAAACCCATGTTCATCAAGTCGGTGATGCCATCCAGCCATCTCATCCCCTGTCGTCCCCTTCTCCTCCTGCCCTCAATCTTTCCCAGCATCAGGAACTTTTCAACTGAGTCAGTTCTTCACATCAGGTGGCCAAAGTATTGGAGTTTCAGCTTCAGCATCAGTCCTTCCAATGAACACCCAGGCCTGATCTCCTTTAGGATGGACTGGTTGGATCTCCTTGCAGTCCAAGGGACTCTCAAGAGTCTTCTCCAACACCACAGTTCAAAAGCATCAATTCTTCAGCGCTCAGCTTTATAGTCCAACTCTCACATCCATACATGACCACTGGAAAAACCAGAGCCTTGACTAGACAGACCTTTGTTGACAAAGTAATGTCTCTGCTTTTTAATATGCTCTCTAGGTTGGTCATAACTTTCCTTCCAAGGAGTAAGTGTCTTTTAATTTCACGGCTGCAATCACCACCTGCAGTGATTTTGGAGCTCAGAAAAATAAAGTCAGCCACTGTTTCCCCATTTTACCCATCTATTTGCCATGAAGTGATGGGACTGAATGCCATGATGTTAGTTTTCTGAATGTTGGCCATAATCTTAGTGTTCCAAATGTTGAGTTTTTAGCCAACTTTTTCACTCCCCTCTTTCACTTTCATCAAAAGGGTTCTTTAGTTCTTCACTTTCTGCCATAAGGGTGGTGTCATCTGCATATCTGAGGTTATTGATATTTCTCCTGGAAATCTTGATTCTAGCTTGTGCTTCATCCAGCCCAGCATTTCGCATGATGTATCCTGCATATAAGTTAAATAAGTAGGGTGGCAATATACAGTCTTGGCATACTCCTTTCCTGATTTGGAACCAGTCTGTTGTTGCATGTCCAGCTCTAACTGTTGCTTTTGAACCTGTATAAAGATTTCTCAGGAAATCTTCCAGAGCTCCTTCCAGTTATGTAGTGGATGCAGTATGAGGAACTGATTTGACCTGAAGAACTAAGGAGTCAGGTGCTCTAGATTCTTGATTTGGGATCATTTTTACCTAGCTTCATGACTAGCATCAATCAATTTCACATCTCCTTTGTGAATCAGTCAACAGAACTTCTTTTCTTGCAGATTAAAAAAAAATATTTTTTTGCCGTTTCCTTTTTATCATTCAAGTTTCAGCTTAAATAAAATGTCCTCAGGGGACTTCCCATGCATCCACTGCAGGGGGGTGGGTTCAATCCCAGGTGGGGGAACTAAGATCCTACCTCCTCCCTAAAAAAAAAATGTCCTCAAAGAGGCCCTAAATATTCTATTTTCCTCTAACATCATTCTCTATAACATTATCTTCTGTTTTCTTCAAGCACTTTCCATCAGCAATTATCTTAAATGTTCCCTTGATTACTATGTTTTCCTCCAAAGACCTTTAAGATCCAAGAGAGCTGAGGCCTTGCCTGTCTTCTTCCCAGCTGTGTTCCCCACTCCTTCAGTTCAGTTCAGTTCAGTTCAGTCACTCAGTTGTGTCCAACTCTTTGCGACCCCATGGACTGTAGCTCACCAGGCCTCCCTGTCCATCACCAACTCACTGCATTTACTCAAACTCATGTCCATTGAGTTGGTGATACCATCCAACCATCTCATCCTCTGTCGTCCCCTTCTCCTTCTCCCAACTCCTGGCACGTAGAAAATGTTCAATAAAAATTTGTAGAATGTAAAGAACTGTAAAATTTAAGCAGTTTGACTAAATGAACTTTAAGAGTGTTTGTGGCTCTAACATGAACATTGTCAAAAAATGAGTAAGTGAAAAATAAAGTGACAATAATCATTGCAATAAAACAATGAATGCAGTGTAGGTGTATATCTACACTTTGGGAATATACACCTGTCGGGTTCTTGGGCCCGTTGTAATGTTGTAGTGTTGTTTTTCTACAATTTCCCATGGAATGTGAACTGAGGTTCTGAACTTTACAGTAAGTATCTAACAAGGATATCAAGTATCTGTCTAGATACAAGAGCACTGTATGGTAGGATTAAAATGGAATAGGTTTTAAGATACAACCTTTTCAATTTACAAGGATGGAAACTAAAGCACAGGGAAGGAAGTGTATTTGGACATTTGGAACCAAATACAGAATTACTTCTGTCAATGAGGAGTACATATGCCAATAAGACTTCTTACAGTCATCATGTGCATGCTGTCACTTCAGTCGTTTCCGACTCAGAGATCCTATGGACTGCAGCCTGGCAGGGTCCTCTGTCCACTGTTGTTGTTCTTGCTCAGCCACTCAGTCGTGTCCGACTCTTTGCGACCTCATCGACTACAGCACACCACGCTTCCCTGTACTTCACCAACTCTTGGAGCTTGCGCAAACTCATGTCTATCGAGTTGGTGACGCCACCCAACCGTCTCATCCTCTGTCGTCCCCTTCTCCTCCCGTCTTCAATCTTTCCCAGCATCAGGGTCTTTTCAAATGAGTCAGTTCTTCGCATCAGGTGGCCAAAGTATTGTAGTTTCAGTTTCAGCATCAGTCCTTCCAATGAACATTCAGGACTAATCTCCTTTAGGATGGACTGGTTGGATCTCCTTGCAGTCCAAAGGACTCTCAAGGGTCTTTTCCAACACCACAGTACAAAAGGATCATTCTCCGTCTCTCAGCTTTCCTTATGGCCCAACTTTCACATTCATAATGACTACTGCGTAGCGGTGCGGAGAATCCGGAGAGCTCTTTTACCGAAGAGTCCTAACTTTACCTTACCTCTGAAACTTTCAGCCTAATTTGGCGCAGAGAGAACTACAAGTCCCAGCATGCCCCGCGCGCAGCGGGCGGAAAGTCAGGCACTTCCGCTCCACGCAGCGCCTCTGCCCCCGCGTCTCGACGTGTCACTGGCGGCGCCGCGGCTGTGGCAAGAGAAGGAGCTGACTGGGGGAGTTTGAGGTGGCGGGTGGCGGCGGCGGCGGCGGCAGCGACCCCGGCCTGGATCTGCCCCGGCGTGGAAGTGTTCCGGAGTCCGTGGGGTACAGGAGAGGGAGGTAGAAGCCCGGCCCGCTCGGGCAAGATGTTGAACATGTGGAAGGTGCGGGAGCTGGTGGACAAAGCGTGAGTATCGGGGGGCAGTTGTGGCCGAGGCCCACGCGGGGGAGGGGCGGGGGGAAAGGGGAGCCGGTTCTGCGCTCGGGGCCGTCCGCGTCACGCCCCCCAGATGGGCCGGCCCTATCATGGCGGCGGGCGACTCTCTTCTTGGCCGGGGCCGCGTCTCGATCCGCCAATCGAAGGGACCTTTTCTCTGTCGAAACATCTTAGTCTCCTTATCTCCTATCCAGGCCTTCCTCACCCTGCAACTACCCCACCCCTCTAGGCGCGGACACTTTGATCGGGGGCGGAGGCAGGGTTGTCTCGAGCTGGGTCACTGCCCTGGCCGGAGAACTGTCTTGGCCCCTGGCTTTTGGTCTTTGCTTCCTGGGCAGCAGTGAAAGCTTGAGGGTGGGGGAACTTATTTCAGTGGCTCCCTGTGCTCCTCAGCCTGTGTTGTAGAGACCTTAGGCCTGGTTGGGATGTGTCCTTTACCTTGCTGAGCTTCTTTTAATTCCTAATGAGCCTGAGGTATTGTAGTGGGTGGTAGGTGTAACAAGTGGCCATTGTGGTCAGACTGAAGTTACTCAGACTCTCTCCTTTGCTTTTCTAACACTAGTGAGAGTAGATCACCGTGTAACTTACTGTGATTCCTTTCCTTTTTCACTACATTTCATTTTTGGAGGGCCGTTTGTTCCATTTGGTTTAATTAATCAATGAGTTAACAAGAAATGTCTCCTAAAGAAGGAAACAGCCCAGGTTTATATCCTGTTGATCTACTTGTAAGTACACTGACAGGTAAAATGAGTAATGCATAGCTGATATTCTTTAAGTGATCACTTTAGTATCTTACTACCCTAGGGAAACCTTAACACATTGCGTGTATCATATAGATTATAACAGTGGTTAAGTAAGGTCTTCTAGGACAGCAGGAAGTGAAGTTTAAGAATTTAACTAGTCCCCTTCTTTTCGGGTTTTAGTGATGATGTAATAAGTGTAATGGCAAAAACAGTTCATTTGTGCCACTCATCCTAAAATCAGGAAGTGAGGATGGCAAATTCTTGGCTTTCTTGACCCCCCAAAAAATAATTTATTGTAAACTTCTATGTATAAAATAAATTAGATCCAAGCATATAATTTCAGCATAGGAAATACAGCTACCATTTTATAATAACTTTAAACAGTACAATCTGTTAAATTATCGAATTACTGTTTGTACACCTGAAACTAATATTATAAATCAATTATACTTCAATAAGAAAAAATTCAGTGGCTTGGATAATGCATCAGATAGAGTTTGACTCTATTTTCAAGTTTTCTGTGCTACCGAGCATGCAGTAGAGTGCCTAAGGAGCACAGATTTCTGAACCTGCAGAGCTGGATTCAAGCTCTGTAACCTTGGCAAATTACTTAACCTTGAAGTGTCCCAGTTTTCTCAGGTGAAATATGAAAATAGTGATGGATATTTACCTTAGAATGCTGTGAGAATTAAGGGCGAAGGACTTAAATAGCATATAAAGGCCATAATGCAGTAAGTTTAGAACAGTATGCTTTTGATAATTATAGCACATGTTCTACAAGAGTAGTATTAAAATTCATTAAGAGAAAAGCTCCATGTTTGAAAAGTGATTTGGTGGTTTTGCTTTGTCAACCATTTATTTGACCATTAAGTCCTCAGTCCTTTATTTTGGTTTTGTTTTGCTATTTATATATCCTTTGCTTTCCAAAGGTAAAAATAAAATCATTTTTTGTTTTTTTTTAGTCCAAGTTTATTGGTTGTTCTTTAATATATGGTGTAAAGGATACCAGCTTAAACTGTCTCTGAAGATCCAAAAATCTCTACAAAACTATTTCTTAACCAGAGGTCGGTGGAAGAAAAATCACTAAAAAAGCACCTTCTTACCTTAGGGGACTAAATTTGTGGTACTCAAAAATTTGAAGACAAGGTGCACTTTTTCAGGAGACAAATCAAGTCAATATTCTTGCTCTTGTTCTTTTCATGTTGTTTTTCTCAATTTTGTTACTAAGTTTTAAGTACCTCAGATTAAATTTGTCACATAAGTAGCTATCAAGTCAATCTAATGGAAGAACTGCTGTTGAAAAATAACTTCAGTCTTCCTTTTTACCACCGGAATAGAATGGAAACCTGGGGATTTCCCTGGTGGTCCAGTGACAAAAGACTTGGGGCTTCAGTACAAGGGCCCCAGCCGGGTTCCATCCCTGGTCAGAGAACTAGATCCCACATGCAGCGACTGAGACTACCTGCAGCCAAATAAATAAGTATCTTAAAAAATTTTAAAAAGAATGGAAACTTAAACCAAGTTACTCAAGAACATGTAAGAATGTTGCCACCAAGGACTTTTTTTAAAACTTTAAGTGGTGTCTGATACATATTAGGATTAGAACATGAGGTTATTTTACTGATGAGTACTTAATTTTCATCTTTCACTGACAGAAAAGAAATAGTTCTTCCACCCCAAATACAAACATTTTACAAAACCAGTACCTGTGGCATTATGCCCATTTAGACTGTTCATCTTAAATTGCCATAATGGAAGTGAAACAGATCCATAGAACAGCTATTCAGGTTATCAAGGGGATAAGGTGATGAGGAAACTTGCAAAAGAGGAAACAATAAAGTGATAAAGGACTGCTCTGAGAGCTGTGTTGAATAGAAATGAGGTCTTATATAGCACTGGCTAGAGGTTGGGGGAGACCTGGGTTCACATTCTGATACTGCTTTTTAAATTAGCCATATGTATAATTTGAGGCAGAATAATGACTCTCCAGAGCTTGGATTCCTTATCTTTAAAATGATGGGATTGTACTAGAATGACTTTCCAGCCTTGTTGGCATTTTGGAGATATAAATTTCTGTCGGGAGGAAAAATGGAATAAGTATTTCTTAACAGCAGATAAATTTTAGAAAGTCATTATCCACCAGAGACAATTGCAGCTGAAAAGACAATTTTTTTATGTGACAATCAATAAATGTTATATTTAATTGCTTTATGCAATAAATAAGTGCAATCCATGACTCTGGAAAATTAGGACTTTTATTTAGTATATATCCCTACCCAATGAAGTTTACTTCAGAAGGAAAAATGTGCTCTTGTGTCCTCTGAAGCACTGTTAGATCCAGTATGATGGCAGTTCTTAAGTGTGATGATATATTTTAAATATTGACTTTTGAGATTTTGAAAACTTTCACGGAAGGTTAGGGAGATACTTTTCACAAGTTTTGAACCTGCTCGTGGTATTAAATGCCTCTGTTTTGCAGGACATTGTGGAACTGAGGAAAGGCAGATAAAACCAAAAGCTCACCAGAGCTTGGAGTGCCAGTTTCCTCCCACATGTACTCAAGTTGCATTAAAGGGAGCTGTGGCAGGAAAGGATAAGTGGCACCACTCCCACCGACTGGGACTAGCTTGACCATTGTCATCCTTTGACCTGCCTCCCTTCATGTGATGCTGAAATAAAATTGAGCACTTTTATATTTTGTTATCCCATTTTTGGTATAAACTGAAAGTTGCTGCAGTTCTGTTGTCTTCAAATTTTGGATATGCAGTGAAGGTAACCTGGTAGTGGTGAATCAAACCACTTACTACTACTTACTGTTCAAGGCCAGCTAATCCTTCTCTTTCATGCAAGGAGTAATATTAATGGTAAATCTATTTCATCAGTGGCCCTTATTCTTTTTAAGATAGTGATTCAAACAGCGCTATCAGTTGCTATAGATTGTCCATTTTAAGTTATTCTCTTAAGCATAGCTTGCATTTTTTTCCCTTTAAGATGATTTTTGTTGGTGTATTTGCATGTTTTTAACTTCTAAATGTTTGCATAACATAATAGAATTGTGCAGATTTCTATTCTAGTCTAGCTGACCCCAGAAGGAGAACCCTTCCCTTTTAATAGAAAATATTTCATTCAGTTATTTCACCAGATAATACATTTGTTATTTATTGGAATAGTACTGTATTTTCTGGACTTGAAAAATACAATACCTGTCTTTAAAAAAATTTGCCACTACAGATATGCTACAACTTGAACTTATCATTGGTTTTCCCTTTCAGTCCTCAGATGTGTTCCCCCTGATTTCCCTGTCTTACCAGTAAATCTCTGTTCAGTTTGCTTCTTAGAACTTGAAAATAAAGGTGTTCTCCGCTTTCTAGTCTCACCATATCAACTTTTCTTTAAACCAGTTGTTATTGCTGAAACAGTAAATTCATTATCCTTTCTTCCTCTCTTCTAGTAACTGGACACAAGTAAATACTAAGAATTTAATTCCAAAAAAAGATGAGTTTTCTCTTTTGCAAGCGTATCTTAAGAGTGATTTTTCTGTACTTTAGTCTAGTTAGTACTATTGCCAAGGTGCTTTTTAAAAGCTCTTAGCTACCTCTTATATTTTCCTATGCCCTAGTGTTTTTAAGTAGTTTTTCATCTGTTTACTGATACATCTACTAAAAGTATTTGGCTTTTTTAATTTTAAGTACCTCTAACTAATACTCCTAGGTTTTACAGTATGGCTCCATAGTTGACCCTTTTTCTGTGCTCTTGTGTTATTTTCTTCTTATTTCCAATGTTTATTTAATATCTCCTTTAAGAAAAAAAGGAAGAGTATAGACAGCTTATGTAACTTTTTTAATCGTGAAGAAATTTTATTTTATGTTTCATATTTAGATCTAATTGGAATTTAATTTTGGGTTTTTATTTTGGAAAATTTCAAATAGATCCAAAAATAGAGGTAGTGAATCCCTGCTTACACAGACCTAGCTTCAAAGTTTGGCTAGTCTTGGTTTATCTGTGTTTCTGCCAACAATCCCCACTCCATATTATTTTGAAGCAAATTCAAGACAATGTATCATATCATTTGTATCAATCTCCAAAAGGTAAAGAGTCATCTTTTTTTTTATTATAATCATGATATCATTATCATACCTTTTAAAAAAGGTGATTACTTTATATCGAATATTCAGTCATCATTCCCTTCTCATTTACCTCATGATTCCTCTTTGATGTTTCTCTGAG